CCCGCCTTGACCCCTCTGGCGCCCCGCCCGCGAGCCTGGGGGCCACATCAGACACTCCCCGTCCCGGTCAGCTCCCAAAACTCGTACCACCCATGCCGCCTTACGGTGTCCCACGGGTAGAGCACAGTACGCTAACCTGAGCATTGTTTCAAGCAGCTCCCGTATTGGAACGTACATACATCACCACAAAGTGCTGTTACACCTTAGCCCTAGGCCTGCTTCACTTAAAGAGAATTAATCAGCAATTCCCTGTTCCTCTTTCAGCTGTCCAGGAAGAAGCATCCGAATTATTTCCTCCTGACTTCACCCCACTTCCCAGTCAGCTTCCAGACAGTCCAAGCAGTAACTGCATGACCCGTACACCACCCTCGTTAGCAGCCTGACGACACTCACCTTCTTGCTCCTCATGTTCCCCCTTCCCCAAGGCAGCTGGCGAGCAGGGGCTGGGGCTGAGCCAGTGGGGAGCCCTGCCCAGCACCACTCACCCCACAATCTCTCCGTACACTCGGGGAGAGCCCAGCACGTTTCTCCACATTTCAGTTGCAGAATGGATGTGAATAGACACCTGCTTGTAACGTGGTTTTTGAACGTGCCCAAAACGACCAACTGACCCAAAACTTTTGACTCTCGGTGAACTCCCTTCACGCTTCCCATGCACAGGATTCAGTTCTCTTTTTCTGGCTTTCTGGCTTGTTTCTTGCCAAAGCATTGGAAACATACCAGCATCAGAGGTACCTTAAGGAAGAACCACCTTCTCAGAAAATGTCTGATTTGATGTCAAATCAAATTAGAGATACTAGGGGAAAACGCTGCACTTGAATTAATTCAAATACTGAAGTTAGGAAAGTGATTAGTCTTGAAAATCCACACTCTGGAAAGGTAAAAAAAAAAGTACAGAATCAATCTGAAAAGTGAGAAGTGGAAATTTAAGAGTGGAACAGGATAAACAAAAAAAGAGGAAGGCACTTCAAGCAGATTGCTCAAGAACAACGAAGCGCAATACAGGGCACCAAGTAAAAAAGGAGCACTGCGAGAAAGGCCCGTAAAGATGTGACTGAATGGCAATGGAATATTCAGTTGCTCATTAAAAGACAGTTAAGCTGTGGTCCCATGAAATCCCACTCAAAGTCAGAAGTTGTACCTGGAGCCCTCTACTTTCAGCTCCCCTCCTTTTTTCCTTCAGTCATACATGCTCACTGCGTTCCACCATGCCTGGAGCTGGGCCAGAGTCGTCTTTTGAAGCAGCAGCTCCTCCTTCCTCACTTCATCTGGCCCAGAGAAGAGGCTACCCACTTCAGCAGGAACACTTGTTCCTTACTCGTGATGCTCAGCACACCACCATGAAGAAAAAGCTTGTAACAAAGCTCTTGCCTTGCTGTTCATTGAAAAGGATCACAGCCAGTATTTTTTGCAATTCATTTGTGCCTACTCTCCAACCTCTGCCCTGTTAATACACAGGCCACCATCTTCTCACCCCCATCTGGAAGCATTACATGCCATTTGCTTCCCTGCTACTCTCCTCTCTCTTCCCCAGACCCTTCCTAGTGCCCCTCCCACCCCTACACGTGCACACACAGGTTTCCATTTTCTCAACAGCTGATCTCTGCTGTGGGAAGGTAAGCCGTGTGGTTGCCCCATCCAGGGGGGCACAACTGGTAGGGAAACAACTTCTGAGGTAGACACCACACCCTGTAGCAGCAGTTTCTCCCAGCAAGAATAAAGATTTACCACTTGTCTGTGTCCCCTTACAGCATGCCATGCTCTTGCTTCTCGTGACTTCTCCTTCTCCTCTTCAGAGCCTTCTCTGTAACTCCACGCGCATCCCAATAGCCGTTGTTACTCTGGAACACAGGGATATTCAGCAGGCCTCAACATTTACAGCCTATCTAGAAACTCTTCAGTTTATAGGACAGCCTAAGACATTATTTCAGATAGTCTGCAGCTGTCTTTTCCTTTTGTTGGAAAGCACTAATGCATGTCATTGTATGGCTCGCTAACAGCGCCTGCAAGAGCCATCAGGTTGTTGGGCAAGAAACAGATCCCTCGCCCTGAGAAAAACTGAAACCTCAGTTAATATATCCTAATAATAAATATAAATAATATTTTGTCTTCATATTAAGAGGTCATCTAGATAAGCCTTTCAAGCCACAAGCCATATGGTAACTAGACTAACACATAGGGAGTTCTGGGAATAAGCAACATGTATTTGTATCTGGAATCAGCAATGACCTCATCCTTTTGAGGTCAGTAATAACAGTTATCAAATTCAAATTAACAGTCTAGAGTCAGATGGAAAAATTACTTCTGAAGGCCATTCTCTCCTGGATTTTTCTAATTTGTATGCAGTACTTGGTATTACTTGTTCTAGAACTACTGACTAAATACTGCTCTTAAGATTTTGTGAGCTCAGAGCAAGAGAAAAATAGACCAGCCCTGCAAAAATATACTCCTCTACACACCTGGGGAAAAGAAAAACTTATTTTTTTTTCATCATCATTGCCGTAAATGGTGAACAAATGGATTTTCATGCCTGGCAATTTTTCATGACAACAGTGTAAGGCTGATTTAAAGCACCAAGTGTCAGGTCACGTCTACTCCATTTAAAACCAAGTAGTTTTAAAAATCACTCAGTATGCTGACTCATCCATTACAGCAACTTCATATTTAAACTACTGATACTTACCTTCATTGTGAGCCAAAGTGGATTCCACCAGAGCTGGATTTATTGCAGTCTGGTTTCTATTTATTCTTTTGCAATGCATTTGATTTGCAATTAGCTCTTTTTAAATCTGTCACTGGATTAGTTTAAGCAACAGTTCAGATCCAATTCCTGTAGATCATAATGAGAATCAAAATCCGATCTTTTTAAGAGCACTATGTCAAAGGACTTCTGTAAAAGTATGTTTAAGTTACAGTTTTCATTGAAAGCAAGAACACACAGATAAGTCATTGAAATAAACAGACATTCATGCACACAGCTGCTAAAGTGAGTGAGGAACTTACAAGGTCAAAGTCTTCTGGTATCACTTGGTCGAACACCACTATCTCAATGAATCATATCCATATCACAAAGGAAGGGAGCTCTTACCGAGTCCCCAGAAACAGAGGACGGCCCTGGAACCTCATTTTTCTTTCTGAGCATTTAGACTGGGGCTACTTATATGGCACATCAAGACTACACGCACATTTTGTTCCCACTTCACTATATAAGACTTGACTCCTACATCTGCAAGATACCCATTATTTCCTACCATCTTTGCAAACTTGGAGAGCCACTGAAGAGTACATTAATTTCTGTCTGGCACAGCTGATCTACACACTGCTAATATACCCCTGCCTCCCACCTGAATCTCAGCAGAAAGAAACCAATAGCCATGATCTAATCTTTCCAGCTAACACCAGGGCACGGCACGGCACAGCACAGCGCAAGCACCCCAGTGGCATGACCTAGGGGCAACAGATTAGTCTGCACATAATGCCACTTTTTCTACTTTTGCCACCTTAATTCCTACAAAAAGGTCTGTTAAATGAAGCTGAGATTAGCCCTATTTTCTAAAACATGGCAAATATCTTGTCATTATTACTTATTTGCTGTAACACAAAGACTTGAAAGACCAACAGTGTTTACCAATAAATATATTCAGTTGTATTACTAGATTATATAATACCCTCTGACAAATGATACTTCAATTAATCCATTATGCCAACAAACAAAAATACTGTTCTGCCTGCACATTAAGACCTCATCTACACGAGCAAGAGCACAAAGACCAAAAGGAGCACGTGCAGCCTTCTCTGCCCAAAAGCAAACACACCAACCCTGACGCTGCTGGTTCTGGGGCATCTGCCGAAGGACGGTTGTGATCATCATCTAGCTTTCATTTCTGAACCTCTGAGAGTGGAAATTCCCCCTCCATGGCATACCAGAGTCTGTGGGACACCTTCCTACAGACTGGCAGGGCACAGCACAGCTCCTGCACAGGTGGAGACACTGACAGTCCAAGTCACAGGGACATGAGTGAGGAAGGGGGGGGCTACACAAATACCAATATATATAGTGACACCTTTTCAAAGGCAAAGTCCTCCAGGAAAATCAGATTGTGTGGGGAGCCGAGAGGTTACTTAAATAAATCTTTGGCATCATGGAGATTTTCCCACCCTCCAAGCCACTGCCCAGAAACTTTAACAGTACAGCAGTATTTCACAGTATGGCCTTTGGTGCCAATATTCTAAAATATTTAAATGATGCAATTACTTTTGAAAATTAATATCCCTTCTCCTCTCACCTCCAAAAAGCCCTGCAACTAGTGTACAGTTTTGGTCAGTCTTCCTTATTTGCTCGGATGCTTTCCGAGATCTCCTTGTGTGTTAAACGCCAGATCCAAAAATGGACTTCAGCAGAATGTACAGTCCAAGTCCAGATATCCAGAACCCTCCCTTCATTCCCATTTAATTTAACCTTGAAGAGATGAATGTACTTTAAAGAAATGCATGAAACCTGTCAACAATTTGAGCTGTAAGCATTCAAATACGGATAAAAGTCAAACTAACAGGGCACAGCAAGACTTTTACTTCCACTTTGTCCTTAACGTATTTTTGTTATGCCTCAGTTTCACCTTTTGAAAGGTAACAGACTGTAAAAGTGATTATACTCTATGCTAAAGTGAAGCGTTAGTTTTAAGCAGAAGTAAAATGAGCTGCAAGAGGATAACTGAATTTATTTGTTTCTTAACAATATCCACAAATAAATCAATTAAGCATCTGCAAATGCGTATCAGACAGCCCAATTCCTTTTAACTGGTGTAACAGTGGACAGCTGGATTTTACATTTTCAGTGTACCTGAAATTTCTCTAGCGCTACAAGTTTCATGAACAAAGTGCATTCAAAATCTTGACAAGACAGATGCATTATATCATCTTATTTCAGTGTAAGGTTTAACCACTTGAACAGAGACGACTTCCACCCAAACCTTTTAACATTTTCCTCTTCATTTTCCTTTGCGTCTGCATTAGAAGCCTCTCTGTTTTCCATCAAAGCTTCATAAGTCTTCTGTGCTCGAACAATTTCTTTGTCAGCATTGAAGTGCACCATTTGTCTGCTCAGAATAGGAACAACTAAATTGAAGTTGTCAATTCTTTTGTTTAATTTCCTGATATCTTCTATAAACTGCTCACAAATACGATTCCATTGCTTTTGCCTATATGGTGTCATTGGCCCTGCAAGCTTACTTCTAGATGCCACTATACTCTTCCTTAACTGCTCAATGGTTTCCCGTATTTCCTTCTGCATCAGGATCCACTCTGGCTGGTATCCATTGTCTATCAGAATCCTGTTCAAGTTGTGAGTCATAGGGTCAACATGTGGACAGTGTGAAAATTTCTGCAAAGGTTTTCCTTTGCCACTGAGATTGTCAAAGTCTCCTTTCGCCATCGATTCCTGGATGAGGTCCTCAACCAACCGTTCAACTGCTTGAGTTATCTTCACCTTTTTGCTCTGCCTCACATCTTTGGCTTTCATTAGGTCAGACACAGCATACTGGCTTTCCAGTCTCTGCTTACGGTACTCCAACACTTGTTCAGTAGCACGGTCTACTCGAAATTGCATGTATTGCTTTTCTCTTTGGCTTGGTGTTCCAAAACCAACGCCTTCGAAACTCAAGTAGTGTCTATGCTGTGGTGCTTTTGATTTGAGCTGATCTTCCTCCTCTTCATTATTCTCATTTGATTTCTTTTTGGTTGCCACATCACTGAGCACGACTCTATACGCTTCTTCCACTTTCATAAATGCTTCGGAATCAGCTGTGGCAGAGCCGCTGTCTGGATGGTATTTTTTGGCAAGACTTCGGTATGAGTTTCTGATATCATCCAGGGAACATCCTTCCGCAAGCTCAAGAATTTTGTAAGAGTCCTTGACATTTCTTTTAGGTTTGTAACCCGACAACATTCTGTTACCACAGATGTAAGGAAACGGCTTCAGGTTTCTTGGAATCATTGCTTGATGTACCATTAAATGATGCCCTATGTTGTTATTCAGCATTAGACAAAGCCACGTTATATTTCTTCAGATGCAGCTACATTATAAACAATGACCTATAAACACATTTTTATAAAAGTTGTGTTAAATATGCTTTTTAAAAGAATTTACATGATTTAAGTCTTATCTTTAACTTGTTATATTATTTAAAGAAATCCTACGAAATTTCAGAACAGTATGTAATGTTCTTTTCTTTTACACACTAATATTGAAATCTGCATTTCTTATTAATTACTATTGTAGTATTACAATGTAAATGAAAATTAATTCACAATATAGTTTTCTCCTGGTACAGCAACAGTAGCACAGGTTTGTTTTGTACTGCTGAATTCCCAAAAGGCCAAAGCTTTAATGCCTTTCTGCAAACTCAGTGCAACATAAACTGGAAATATGCTTTACGTTGAGCAGTAACTCTGCTGAAACCAGTCTCTCCTTTTTCCTCTATACACCTACATTCAGTCTTCAACTGAATTTGCTATTCACATACACCAGTGCCTCAGGATCTACTACCTGGTACATTCTGAAAGGATTTCATTACAGTACCCTTTTGGTATTTCACAGCAACAACTGAAGCAGCATTCAGATTACAGATTCCTTTAGAATAATTTTTGTAGCCTGGCAGGGCTCTCACATCCTAGTGGCAAATCTCCTTTGTTTGTGCCAGGTAAGGTTATAAATCTGGAACTCTGAATCTGAGATCGATAGCTGCCATTATCTCATTCTGTCAGGAATACCAGTGCTTCCGAATGATTTTGGCAAACAGCAAAAGGAATTCCTTCAGCAAATGACAACATAAGTAAGTCTTCACATAAAATCAAAAGTAGAAAAGTATCATACAAACTGCATACACAATTTACAAATCAGCTAACTTCTCTTTATTAATGAAAATCCTAAGACAAATACTGCATACATGGTGCTAAAGGGTCTCCTTGCACAGATTCACCAGTGACTGTGACATACCCTTTGCTGACTTCCTTTCCAAACAAAAACTAGGTTAAATCAAGGTTATGTTTAAGTAATACATAGCGTTTATCATGTTCTGCATATCAACAAACTGCCCTTCTGCACTAACCCCTCTGAAAAGAGAAGGGAAAGGAGATGAACTTGGGACTGGACGAAAGATTGTATCAATCCGTAATGTTTTCAGTTGATTTTGATCCAGGTAAGGTATTAAATCGTCAGCTTGTGGTTATTATAATGGACTTTAATAACATGTAGGGTTTTTTCATTTATGATATAGATTAGTGATTTCTTTCCTTCTAGGTGGTTGGCAAAGACAGTAATTTAGTTCCGTGTGGCAATAAAAATCCACGTAACTACTACTTGAGTGGAAAGATCAATTAAGATGCTCTTGAAGTTCAACGTACTGATCAGAAGCAGTCTTCCTCATAATTCTGGAGACTTGGTTTTTATATATTTCTGTGTAAAATATCAAGCGGTACGCATAGCACTCGCCCCACAGCACCAAAGGGTGCCAGCTGGGGGGGGGAATGTTTAGTCCCCAGCCGTTTGCATGCAGCTCCCGCCGCTGGGGATAGGTAAGCGGGACAAGACGGATTCTGCTCCCCCCGGCATGGCCGAGGAGGGCGGCGGCACCGAAGGGCGCACCCCGCACCGCCCCCGTCCCCCCCTGGG